CGAATAGTGGGATTGACCGTCACATTATAACGCCCCCACGGCTGAAAGAGCGAGCATGTTTAGTGGTATGCGGATTCGAACCCGCGACCCTCAGATTGTGAGTCGAGCGCCTTAACCACCTGGTCATGCCAGGCACTTTTGCATATAGTAAATATATATATATATATTGTAAGTATTTTTCTTGAAGAGGGCTTATTGTTGAATGTATAGGATTATAGACGTGTTGACTAGCTACTTTTCTTTATCACTTTAAAATTTAGGACGGTTAGAGTAGATAGCCGTCGAATAGCTTTGGGCGAAATTCAACAAACACTTGTAACAAAATGTGCAAAATAAGAAAATATGTAAAAAAAAAAGTAGCAATGCTACATTTGTTTAAAATGCAATACAATTTGTTTTCTGGCTAGCTCAACACCAACTTTGCACGAAGCCCTGCTAGAAGTTGGGATTTTTGAGCAAAGCCCTTTTACGAGGTCACGAAAGCTTGTGATACTTACTAACCTTATCTTAGACGTGCAGCCTCATTGTTCAAGTCAAGAAAATCAAAACACGACTAACTATGATATTTAAATTAAGTTATTTGTGTATTTTCTAACAAGAAAAATCAGAACTATCATAAAAGAATAAAACTAGAAAAGTTGGTACAGTATTAATAAACATTTTTATGAATTTGGTACACTTTTCGGACAGTACATTTTCTTGTCAGGCGATCAAACAATTATTAAACTCGGCAAGGTAAAATAATTTAACTTAATTTTTCAGAACTTGAAATATTATTATTATTACAAGATGTACTTGCGCAGTGTCCCCGGAAGTGTTCTGTTTCAAGAATAAATAAAACCAAAATTAAGAGTAACATATATTTTATTTCTTATTTTTGAAGTTCATATGTCATTCTGTGTTGTAGCCTAAAGGTGCATAATTCTTCTCGTGATTCATGGCATGCGCATATTTTGCTGACGTCACGATAGTACAAATTGCAACGTTAAGCATCCCTTACGTGATGTTATTTTAGTGTCTACTGACTGACTGACAGACAACATACTACTGTAGAGTGATGCCAATGATTAAAATAGGTGACCCCTCCAGGTGGTCTTCAGCCCCTTTCGGGGAAACTAGGCCAACCCGGATTCTGAAATTTAGCAGAACTAATATAACAATTTCATAAATGTTCCATACTTTTTATAGAATAAAAACGCTATACTCATAAATACTGTGCAGCAGTAAAAAAAAAAGTTAATATATGTATATTATTATTTTGAATAGTAACCTCATATGTCCCTTTTACCACATTTGGCTGGCTCTAATAAATTTAAAAATGTTCTACACATTAGAAACTCTCCGAACCAATTGCTTTTTGCATTTTTGAATTATAATTCTCAGAGCATAATCTTTCACGTTATACATCAATATTTGAAGAAATGAAATAAATTGTCCGATGAAAACTGTTTTGGTTATCACATTACGTGATATTTACATGGCATGGTTGCAGGTGTAACAGTTAACAAATACATATGAGCATTTAGTTACAAGTCTGGGTCTTTAATATATATATATATACTAAATATATACCCACACTTTTATTACTTAGAAATCAACATCAACAACCTATATCGTCATACACGTTATTATTTTCAGTTTTGAAGCTAATATTCATAATGTCATCTAATAGCCCTGTACTTGTTTCCATGTGTTTTAACGCTTCTTTCCCTTGTTAGTGTTAGTACTAACTTTCATATTTACTATTTTATATGTAGCGAAGGCCTAGTACATTACTAGCTAGTAACTTGAATCATAACTCATTGTAATTGTAATACCACAGCTTGCACTAACTGAACCTCAATAAAATAATGTAGTTGGTACCTGAAGTATTTGTCAGCGTATGTGTATGTAAAAGGCCAATCAAAATACAAAGAAATAATATTCTACAAATTACCAAAAAATGTTCAGTAAACACAGGCCTACCTTTTGTGCCTTACACATCGCTCCCAAAGCTTGTACGTCGTGGTTAGTGTGGTTACCTTCTTGTAAACACAGAACACAAACTGGGACTTTACATACCATGCAGTACATGCTTAAAGTTTCTTCAGTATGTTCTATGCAATTTGGCTTCCTTTCTTTGATTCTTGCTCTCAAATTAGCTTTTCCTTGCTGAGGGTTAACTAAAGAGTGTTTCACCAGCGGGCCCCTGTCCGGGTGACAGTTGTCCCGACAGGATTCACAATAGAACACTTCGCACTGTTCACACATAACTGCGGCTATTTTAGGGTCACCTTCACACAGTTGACAGAAAACAGGTAAATGTTTAGCTTCTACATATTTATCGACAATATTTTGAACAGTTCGATTTTTTTGCAAATTATTGGCTCCATTTTCATCAAAGTAAACAACTTTCTGACATACTGGACAGTTCAGAGACAACGCACTGCTATGTAAAGGCGGGAACAAAATACCCTGAATATTTGGAGTACCTACATAGCTATTGGGCCGACTGTTGCAAACCACCCCACTATCTGTTTCGCTTACCAAACTAAGTTTATCAACATCTGAATAATCTGCAGTTATTTCATTCAAATTATTCAAAGATCCCTCTGGTTGCGGTTGAGTTTGCTGTGCTGGTTTTTGTGAACGAATAGCACAATTCAGGCAAACAGAATGATAACATGGTAACAAAACTGGATTACGAAATAAATGCTTACAAAGCGTACACCTAAGTTCCTCTTCCATCGTGTTTCATACTCTTCTACTCGCCACAGACGCTACACTAAACTTGAAAACTTGTAGTCTCTCACCAAGCAACGCACTCTGCTCTTCACTAGACGCATGCGCAGGAAATAATCCTTGAATACTACGTCCTCTAGCGAAACGAAAGTAAATCAACAGACCGCTCATCGTGTTTTTTAGGTCACAAAGAACATTAATTTTTCTAAATTTTCTTTTGAAATGACATATTTTGCAAACACCTCAATACTTAAGTTAGTCTTTACAACCGTAAATGTAGGTTTACTACTGGAAAGATGGTTTGCACTGAAACTTTGATCACCCTTGAAATTGTGTTAGATAATTTTCGTTTACAAAATCCTATTTAAATATTTTTATACGGTAATAAAATTGATAAGGGGAATTACTTTCTTTAAGCTTGTTAATTATAGTTATGTTGTTAAGTCTATAACAATGATAAACACTAGGAAAAAATTTATGTATAAAAATATGTGTGCGCCTAAAAAAACATATTTACAGACAATGAGATATGTGGTAGAAATTGTCTGAAACTAGTCCACTTTATTCGTGGTTTATTTTTTCACACATACCACGAAATATCATTTCAAAGCTACACCAAACAAACAAAGTAATCATTAATTGTTAATTATACATTGCTTGAAGATGGCTCGATTCTATTGTCTGAAACGTCGCTGTTTAAACTGGTTAAATGGGAGCGGGTTGGCTGTGTTACGACTTTTCGGAGTTGGCAAGCCGAGTTTAAATGTCGTGCGATGCCATGAAATAAAGTCCCAGCACTTTAAACTTGGATGTTTTATAAGGGTGACAGTCAATCCCTTAGCGATGATGGTGGGTGATAGGTTGCTGCTGACTAGCTGTCTTCCCTCTGGACAGTAGTTCAAAATTAGGGATGGTACCAGGTGACCGTAATAGCTTTACCATAAATACAATTATAAATATTTTCTTAAAAAACATACTGTAAAGCTGATGATGATATTGAATTTAAGCAAAGTAATCGTTACAATATTCAGCGAAATACTTTAATGGTAACAATGTTCACTGTTGTTTTGCTTTGTTGCACAAAATTATAGAAGTTTAACATTTTTGGAGCTCTTTACTGATTACCAGAGATCTTATGCAGTGCCACTGTCAATAGGTAGACAGTTGTTGGTTAATGACTGATATCTTGCGTGTGGTTTAAAGTAAGTAAGTATACCTCAGCAAAACTTGTACTAATATTTAGTTGGAGTAGTATTTTCATTGCTTTAAAGAATATGATCTAAAAATATACATAGTCTCGTATTTGTTCACACGTTCTGGGTGTTTATTTTATTTTTTGTGGTCTGTGAAGATTTAAAGAACAACAATCAAAACAACCAAAGTCAAATCAAAACTTTAGCATAAAAATATTGTAACATACTAAATACACTTACTTTTAAAGATATTATAGCTAGATATTTTCCTAATTGACAGGTATGTATTTAGTATTTCATTTTACCAACGACGTAGTCATACTTTTTGACAGTAAACATTGTAAAACGTCTTAAGTTTAGAGTTTTTTTCTAAAATAGTCATAATAACTATCGATATTTAAATATGTTAGGGTATTTAACAACTGTCACATGAGCCAGCCCGGTATCTCGATGTGGAAAGGTTTGGGTTGTTTTGGTTAGACAAAAAGAAGACGTTTGGCACTATTTTCGAGGTCTGAGTCGCTGATCCTGACACATGACCTGACCTGAGACACGGAGAAGTTAAGTTGTAAATGTAAAGTAAAACATTGTGTCAATAAAACATGCTTGAAATGTTCTAGATGTGGTGGTTTAAGTGTAGCGATTAGGCTAAACCGTGGGTCCAAGTTGGGTGAGGGAAGAACTTATTCTAATATATCCCAATCGATTTGACATACCAGCTGAATCGGAGATTTCTCAGTTGATTACTGCACTAACAGTGAAACAAACAAAAACAAAAACGGGCAGAGTAGTGTCGTTATCTTTAGAAAAGAGGAATTGGAATCATATATAAGAAATCATTAGTTTCAATATTTTGTGAAACTAATGGCACAGTAAAGCCCACGGACACAGTGTTGAAGTTGAAACAGATGCAAGATGGATTGAGATGATTTCACTAGCAATTCTCAAATTTAAAATGCCGTTTCTGCAGTGAAGGCTAAATATAAGAATAATGGTATAATGCTCAGTATGGTATCACCATAGTATAATCCATATAGATTTCATCATGTCATATTTTCATTTATATTTAATTGTGTGTTTATAGAAGTTGTGCCGAGAGTTTCATTCATCGAGATCTATCGAAATAATCCCAAATCACCGGTTCCCGGAATGATCCCCCTGTTGACCATTCTAGGCTCAGTACCAAAAGATGCTGGGCTGGCTCGTGTGGCAGGCGTTAATAACACTAAATAGCTTGTATATTACAACAATTACCCTACAGGTTTCAAATTATTCCTTTTGATTCACAATGGCACCAGTCTACTGATCAAGCTCCTCCATTACCTCCAGTTACTCCTGTAGCTACTTCAACATGGTCCGCACTAGGTTGTGAGTGGGGGTATGGACACAGTTTCAAGCATTGCGCCCAGGGATTTAGAGGGGGGGGGAACAAAACACCGATGCTTAGCGATCCTGAAACCTACTTTTACACTCCCTTCATCTTTGGTTGTACTCCCACTTCATTTCTCATAAATGTTTTATTAAAAAAGGGGGCTTTATAAGTGCGATTTTATATAAGGACACCAATTTAGCGCAAAGCTACACAAGGGCTATCTGCACATATCCATTCCTAATTTTGAACTGATAGACTAGAGGGAAGGCAGCGCCAACTCTTGTGACTACTGTTTTACCAATGAGTAGCGGGATTGACCGTCACAATTTAACTTCCATATGGCTGATAGAGCGAGCCGCATATTGCGTGCCCTAACCATCAGACCGTGCTGAAGTAAATATTCATGCAAGTTTCTAAAATAAACTGTATGCTATTCACTCATTGCCTAATTGAAGTTTATGTATACGTCAAAATTTTACGTGTGTAAAAACCATTTTTAAAGACTATTTAGCACCTTATTATATAATATCGAAATAGACATACTTTTTTTCGAATCCTTCAGTTTAAGCACCGTATCGAACTAGCTAAGTGTCCGTCGGTGAGAACAAAGAGACAGTCTTCTAAAGCGTAATTAGCTATCCCAGCATAAATGAAAGTATGAAGGAATTATCCTTGCCAGAACGTGACTTTATTATGTATAGTAAATACGTTGACCCGGTATGGCCAGGTGGTTAGGGCGCTTGACTCGCAATCTGAGTGTCGCGGATTAGAATCCCCGTCCCACCAAACATGCTCGCCCTTTCAGCCGTGGGGGCGTTATAACGTGACGGTCAATCCCATTATTCGTTGGCAAAAGAGTAGCCAAAGTGTTGGCGGTGGGTGGTGATAACTAGCTGCCTTCCCTCTAGTCTTTCACTGCTAAATTATGGACGGCTAGTGCAGATAGCCCTCATGTAGCTTTGCGCGAAATTCAAACCAAACAGACAAATGTGATGTATAACGGTATGGTATTTTGCCATTCACATTTTACTGACAACGATGAATGTTGACGGTTCATTAAGTTTGAGTTATGTTTGTGCTAAGTATGTTGGTTGTGCTGTTAATGCAAGCAGATATGATAGTTTGTAGAATTAATTTTATTTGTCGTCGAAAAGTGAGGTTTGTTAGCAAGCCCCGAACCCATTCTGGTGACGCCCCTGTAGTAACAGTATTATTTTTAAGTTATTCTGATGATATCAAAGTAGCCGAACAGTCATGGGGTACCTGGATAAAAAATATAATATATACAACAAACGTATTAATATAATTATTCAAACTATTCTTAGCCGTCCGAAAGCCAAGTAAGCTGATGTTTAACGATGTTCATCAATGAAAAATCTATAGCATTAAAATAGCCTGTCTCTGTGTGTGTTTGTGACCGCCATAGTTCCAAGAAGAAAGAACCCGAAGGTCTATAGAAAGGTATAATTTTTTTTTCGAATTTTCACTTACAATATGTGGAATTTTTTTTCCAAATACTCTTTTTCAACAGAAACATGGGAAGAAAAATATAAATCTGAGAATTAAAAAAGTTGAATTGAACTAAGTTTGGGAAATGGCAACAAACAAAGGAAGAAAAATATGATTCATAGAATATTGGAGAATGGAAAGAATTCATATAAAGACACAAAACAAAAACAAACCAGAGAAACTCAATTAAAACTCTCTGTTTTTAAAAAGAGTTGAATTGTATTAAGTTCGGGAAAGGGCAACAGACAAACCAATTAAAGAATTAACGCATTGGGGTAGCTATAGAAGTAATTAAGATAATGGAGACGCTTGACTGATACATTGAGGCCTCTGTGAATCATGGGGGGGAGCCTTAGAATCCCGCAACAGAGCGTGGGTATTTTATGCTAGTATTGAATAGTTTTCAATAATACGATGTGCATATGATTTTTTTATGTTTGTCTGCATTTTATAAACACTGTTTTATCTTCATTTAGAGCTTCTTCGAAGTAAATATATTAGAGTTTCGTAACAACTACACTTAGTTGCGAAGCAAATCTTAAGTTTTAGCTCATAAGTGGTATATTTACTTTCAGTTTTGAACAGTGTAGTTAGACTCGCGAAGAATCCATGTCATGTATAGTTGTGACGTCAATGAACACAATGGATTGCCGATCTTGCATAGCTTCGTCCCCAATGGGAATACATAGAATAATAATAAAGACCATATGACGTGTAGAAAACTAATCTATAATACTAAAGAAGCTGTTCAAAAATAAAGCCGTCTGCCTATTATTAAGTCTTTAAAGAACCTGTTGTACGAAGTAAACAGAAGATTTTCGCCAACATCAAAAATATAAATTACACTAAAAGTTTTAATCTTAGGTAAACAATCAAAGCAACTAAAATAAAACAACTCTCTCTTCCAGTGCTGAGTACAACATGTTGCAAGCAGGTATACTAGATATTTTCTACTC